TGAACCATTCAGAGGCAATATTACTAGCTTTTTTTTTTTTAAAGGTTTGTGCTTTTTTTGGTTTTGGTAGTGTACTGGTGGATTAAATTCAACATACATAGCAGGACAAAAAGGGGAAAGAGTCTCAACTACAAGGAACAATCAGTACAGCAAGATTAAAGGGAAAATGTTTGCTCTCATTGTGGGAGCCCACGTGTGACTCCCTTTCCATCTGCAGTCCATTCTGACTTATAAGTCATTTGAGTTCAAGCTTGCTTACTCTGCTTTTTCCAGTAAACTTGAGAGCTGTGAGAGACTTCTGATGTAGCCCACGAGAAAGAACACTCTATTTAGTAGACAGTATACTGCTGATGACAAACCTCAGGAACCCCAAGACAGAAAGTGAGGCTGCTTCTCAGCAGCAAGCACATGATGGAGAAGAGGCTGCTCAGGGATGGTCTTGTGGTTAGACACTGACTGACTGTCTGTGCTGTGCTTTGTTCGGTTCTTCTATAGAAGCATGTTCTGAAATAAACTCTGGGCCGTTGTCATTGCTTCGGCATGACCAGACAGACCTCCTGATTCTATGCTGTCTACTGTTTCCTTTTTCTGACTTTCCTTTGGCCTCGAGGATCCCCCATACAGGAACTGGAGCTGACTTTGTAGGAGTGGACTGCTACATCTAATAGAGTTACTAAGCAACCACACGTTGCTTTAAGAAAAGAAAATTCCCATGCATAGATACTTAGTCAAAGAATGTTTAGAGATGATACCATGTACTACCATACCTATGATTTAAGGAAAACAAAGTAGTAAACGTAGAAAATCAACAACTGGATAAAGGAGAAAAACACTTTTATAGTCCTACCACGTGGAAATGGCCACAGCTTCAGCCAGCCAGCGTTGCCTTTCTACCAGTTGTCCCCCACACAAATAGGAACATTTACAATTGCTAGTCATTTTCTATCCATGGTATTCAATGTCAACTCCCCAGATACTATGCATTCATCCAAATCATGAACCCTAACATGGTCCAAGTGGTCACACAACTGTGTTATATAATTGAGTTAATCACTCCCCCCCAGTAGCCAGTTTACCTTTGTTTTGTGCTTTGGCTCTGGAAATAGTGGCCCAACAAGCATAAATCTGGGACAACTTAGGATATTCACTGACAGGCCTGACACAATTATAAACTTCCTTCACTTAGGTAGCTTTATTTTCTTTTAACTGATATAAAAAGTACTTTTTTAGTCATCTAAATTTTATTAGCAAATACTTATTGCCCAGAACAGTGGTTTTTAGTATCATATTTTTATACATGCCTGTAGCTGCGGATTTGTCATTCCAACTTCTACATGCTGTCTAGATATAAAACTTAGAAATAAGTAAGCCATACAGCCTCTGCAATACACACAAACACCACACATGCACACAGCCCAGCTCAATACACACACATACACACAACCCAACTCATCAACACACACACCACAACTCATCAACACACACACTCATACACATGCCCACAGCCCAACTCATCACACACACACATATACACACAACCCAATTTATAATAAACACACACCACAACTCATCACACACACAGATGCACACAGCCCAGTTCAATACACACACATACACACAACCCAACTCATCAACACACGCACCACAACTCATCAACACACACACACACTCATACACATGCCCACAGCCCAACTCATCACACACACACATATACACACAACCCAATTTATAATAAACACACACCACAACTCATCACACACACACACATGCACACAACCCAACTCATCATCATCCAGAGGATTTTCTTACACTGAAATAAAGTTTTCATAAAGAAAAAAATTTTCAAATATGTGTATTTATATTTTCCAAACAATGGGGTTTATATAAATAAGGCCAGTATCTTTCAAATTGGTAAAGAGGACCTCAGTTTGAATCTCCAGAATCCACACCCTAAATATGTCATATACACCATACGACTCAGGCCTAGGGAACACTGTGAAAGCGGGTATAAATACCAGATTGACTAAGAACTAGGCAGAGGGTTGTGCAATGGCGTCTATGCATGACTAGGCCATGACAATGATGAGCTCTCATCAGCTATGGGCACTGGTACTGGGCCCACACATATCAGGTCCATCAAGCAATCAGCTATAGACGAGGAGGAGATCATAGAACCCTTCTATTTGCTATTGAACCACTGGCAACTAACAGATTCTGAGCACGGCAAGGCCTAGTGTTCAGTATCCAGGGGTGAGCCTGTTTGCTTAAAAGCATCACCTCAGTTCCCTGGCGCCCTTTTATACAAAGAGTCTGGATTGTTTAGTCAAGGGGCTTCACCCCAGCTCCTGGCATAAGCTCCCTCCCCTGGGAGTTGCCTCAGTCCAAACTCAACCTCCAGAGAAAGCCTGCCAATCGGTGACCCCTCTCGAGTGAAGGCCAAAACCACTCCAACAGGCTATTTAAACTGTCCCCCAGAGAATGAACACATGGTCTCCCCTTTTCCCTCTTTCTTTCTCCATGTTTTCCCAGGAGCCACCCAGAAGTGCTGGCAGTCATTAATCATGGGCATCTTTTAATTTGGTCTGATTTGATCTGATTGGGATTATTTACATCAGTGAAGAATATGTTGGTTAAGAAAAATATTTAACAGAGCCTACCGGTCTCTAGTCAAATCCATGATCATAGAGATGACCTTAGTTAAACTCTGTGGAACACAAGACAGAAACTCAAGACTATAGGGAAAAAGTGATGGCACAGAGGGAGGAAGACAAGACGAAAGGAGAAAGAGAGGAATCAGAATGTTTTATATGTGTATAAAATTGTCAAAGAACAGCACTTATTTACAGAAGAAACTGAACTATTACTTTTAAGTCAAGCAGAGTGGTAGATATCTGTAATGATAATGATGGTGATAATAGGGGTAGATATTCGGACAGTCACGGGTCAGCCAACCCAGCCAAAGCGGAGGGATATAGACTCTGTGAGAGACCCTGCCTCAGAAAATAATGTGAAGGGTAACTGAGCTACATTGCTGACAACCTCCACATGAAAGTGCACAGGCTCACGAGCGTCCACAGACATATGTTCACACACTACATCACACACACGGACACAAGGAAATGAGGTTTTGGTCTATCCCTGAGAGCCTATAACAGTTTGACAGTTCATTAGTCCAAGTAGCAAAGTTTCACAACTTCATGAGTACCACCTCGAGTATTTACAGAAATGCTGTATGCTTTTTCTTCAAGTGTGAGCCTTTAAAAATACACTCTTGGATAAGCGGGTGTGGAGTGTCTTTGGGAGTTCTCTCTTGTAGGCTCATCCATCTTTTTATTGGAGTGGTTATATAATTTGTGTTTGTGTATCTCAGTGTAAAATCCAACTGCTCTTGAGAGTGATGGAGTATTTTTCTCTGTTTAATTTAATACATAAATTATAATCTAGTTAATAAAATTTAAGTCAGACACTTCATAGGGCCATCATTGAGGCACTTCCTAGAGGTTGAAATCCCACTGTGAGAGAATTGTTATGCAACTATTAAAAGCAGTATCCGAAAGACTAAAGAGCTTGCCTCTTTCAACAGAGTTTTTTTTTTCACCTATCCATTTATATCACCTGGCAAGTGAAAGAGTGTAAACTTTATTACCCTCTGCTTAACAATTACCCCATTAAGGTTGAGTTAGATGAGGGGAAATGCCACTTCACTGTGGAAACAGCAAATAAAAAGCAGGTACCTTTTGAATATGTAAATTCTTACCTTTAAGTCCAACCCCTCCTACACCTTTCCCTAACGCAAACAAGAATGTTAGTATGTTTGACTGTTATTCTGGCAAACTTCATTATTGAAATAATGGTCAACAGTGCTAGGAAGACGGTCTCGAAATAAAATCTCTCTCATTATAACTGAAACTTGCCAGACAAAGACCTTGCCCTGCCCCCTTTGTTTGAGGGTTATTCTTGGGGACCACAGTGTATTCCTCCAAATAACTAGATGACTGGCTATCTGCTCAATGCCATCCTCGGGGTGTTTGCTTCCAGTTGCTTGGGGATTTGCACAAAATCTTAAGCATGAGATGCTAATTCACATCACTACGTCCACTCAGGAAACAATAGACAGTCAACCCACGGCTGCCCATAGCTTTACAGAGAGAGGCTTGCAGGTCACCGTGATTCCCTGTGTGCAGAGCTCAACAGAGCAGATAGTGCAAGTGGGCTTGGCCTATGACTCCACCAACACCATCACCTGCAGGGAACAAGGGAGGCAGTGGTCCACTGACTTTCTCAAGCAGCTTCAATTTAGTTTATCCTTTCTTTTTAGCTCTCTTCAATCTCCTTTATTGCTGCAGAAATGGTAATTCTAGTCTAAACTAGAATTTAGTCTCCTAAAGTGCCTTTTGGAAAAAACATCTAAATATGTGACATTGGTCTCCACAGTGGCAGGAACTGTATCTCCTGCCTTGCTGGTCTTTGGCAGTGAAATTTTGCAACTCTTCCAAACAGAGAGTAGAATCCCTTTGTCTACCTCACCAAATCTGGCTCACCTTTGGATGCGTCATAACCAATAGGAAGAGGTAGGAATGGCACTGACCGTCTTCTCAGACTAGGTTTTGGTCCACTCTTGTTAATTCTGGAGACTTCTTCTTGGAAAGCTATCTGACACTGCTGTGCTGTGGGACTGGGGCAGATCTTGAGGCATGCCACACAGGAACATAGAGGATGGAAAGCAGAGATGCTCAACCAAGTCCAGGCAAATGATGTCTCTTGCTGAAAGAGGTATCTGAGTGACACCAGTGGCCCAGAGTAAGGCAGCCTCATCAGTCCACAGAACTAACAAAAGCAATAAATCATCCTTTATAGTTACCAAATCCTGGGAATGTATCAACAACAGTTAGTCAACTAGTCTCTAGCAGTCTACTGGGCAGCAATTCAGGAGACAAAGCCTTTATACAGCTAACAATTTGTTGACTTTATTCTTTGTCCTGTCTGGGTTTATTACTTACACACGGCACAAGATTCTCCTGTGTAACCAGGAGCACAATCGCAGCTTCCAGACTCTCTGTTGCAATGACCTCCATTTTCACAGAGTCCACAGGAAAACTGGCATTCTGGTCCCCAGAGGCCATCAGGGCAGGCTTGTAAAATAAAAACAAAAAGAAAGATGGCTCCAGATTTCACGTTCACTGTCGCCTAAGTGAGATGGCAAATTGTGTGTGTGTTTGTGTGTGTGTGGGGGGGGGAGGTGTTTTCCAAAGAAAAAAGTGTTCGCTAGCCTCTGAAGATTTATAGCTCCTCCAAAAGCATTTCCGAAAGAAATCAGCACAATGTTGTGTCTATCACTTTGGAAACACAGATATAGTAATTGTCGTTTTTCTTTTCTCTTTTTCCTTCGCTGAAAGTGTGTGTGTGTGTTCCAGGCAGTAACAATGAAATCCATTTTGATTTATTTTTGAAGGCACTTGCACGGAACAAGCATGAGACGGGAGTGTAATTTGTGAAAAGCATCTCAGAAGAACGCCCCAAATGTTAGCTGCACATCTTCTTCCTCATCAATGCTTCCTTCTCTAAGCCTAGCCAAGGCAGGGCTCTGTGGTTTATGTTCTTTATGGCATACAGTGTCTAAGGTGGCTAAGGAGAAACTGCAAGCTGTCCTGTTGAATGTCCTTTGAACTACTGATGGAAAAGGACAAGCGGTAGATACTACCGGCACACGGACCTTAAGAGACACTGTCTAAAGCCTGCAAGTACAGACCTGGAAGAACTTATCTTAGGAGCACAGAGAAAACAGTGAAACTTCTTTAAACGCTTGACAGTGGTTGGAAGTTACAGCCCACTTCGCCCATCTGCGATGTGTGTCTTGGGCTGGGCAGAGTCTCGGAATAGCAGAATCACCACATTTTCTGAGGTGTCAAACCAGATCTGCAGCCGTATCCTTATATAATTACATCATATAAAAAAAAAACCCAGCCAATCGCAACTTCACCCTGTACTAAATAAGGCTTGGAGAGGCGGTGCATCTGCTGTCATAACGCCAAGGGCAGCAAAGTTGAAATTTAATCCTGCATCTTTCAGTTTGGGGATCTAGTGATCCTATCACACTTCGTGACGCTGAACCATTCAGAGGCTCTCAAGTCGTCTATTGTGCTCTGAGACACCCACTGTGGTTTTGAATTTTGAGTTTGCCTGTGGTAGAACGATTTGAATCCAGACTTGATTTTCCTGCAATGGCACAGGGGCTGCACAACCTTCCTAAAATGGGCTTATGGGTCCCCCCACATTTAAAAATCTGCCTGTAGTTAGGGTTCCAAATACCCACAATACAAACTTTTACCCAGAATACCTAGGCAGCCTTTATGTGGTTTCTCTCCCCTCTGTCATAGGTTGCTGGAAGAAGGTTTTGCTGTTTGGAAGTAGTTGCCGCTGATAAGGGAACTGAGATTACTGCTGATTGTTCAGGGCACTGCTCCCCAGTACCACTGAAACAATCCTTAACTGACTATTCACATGCAGTTCTGCTGCAGGCCTGGAGGTAAGATTCCTAAAGCTGTGTCTGGCCCTGGGAGCATAGGGGCCACCCCAGGGCTTGAGATGCAGAAACCCAACAGGGCCGGTTTTCACCATGCTCGACTCAACAAGTGCTCTCCTTGCCTTAATTTCAGCTGCCAATCATGGTGAGCTCACCCACATGCTCCCGTCTTATTCATAATTTCATTTCGTGGTTAGACAAAACTATCAGGATTGGACAAAGCTCTCTGATTGAAAAATAATATGTTTTCTAGAGATTATGGTGACGACCTCTCTATTTTGCTGATTTACATATACTTTCAACTCATTTTCCTTCACAGTGGGGATCTCAGAAGCCATTCCCAATAAAGTATATTCAGCAGCTGCTTTAAGGAAATATTGTCAGAATAAATTAAATTTACCCAGGTGTGTGTACATTGTATTATATCCTTGTACATTGGCTTCCAGAACACGCCATCTCAGTAGGGACATGAAGAGAATGCTAACATCAGGCTTAAAATTAGGGCAGAGACTGAGTGACATGAGACCTATTCTTGTGTCATATTAAACACATTTGTTGAGACTGGACTTCCGTTTCCTCAAGTTCCTTTCTTCATTACTTAGGTATTTACAGTGCAGCCACCACAATAGCCCACAGGGCTGGCTCCTAAGCCTAAGAGGTTTCTAGTTGCAGAACAAGATGACATCCTTCCCTAAACCAGTGCATAAGGGATTCGAAGACAAATTTCAATCCCCTGCTTCTGTGAGCAGATTCAACACTGCGCTGTCTTCCATCGGAGCCCAGTATCCTCTTCTAGTCACAAAGGATGTAAGGACTCACCGTTAGTCCTGGTCATTTGGTTTGTCCTAGGTGTGCAGTTCTTATGAAAGAGCAAAGGGCCATGACAATTTTCTTTTCTTAAATAAGAATCCCTAGGGCTTGATGAAAGTATATATATATATATATACTTATATAGTAAGCATGATCCTACATACTATGTGTTGATTTAAGGAAAGATTTACTGACTAGTGGTCACAGGAGCAAGGGAATACCCAAGAAAACAAAGCAGAAAGCCTGTCTATGTGGGACCCAGATTCTGTCAAGAGAATGATCAAGAGAATGATCACCCATATCAAATACAACAGTAATAGGTGAATAAGGTAGAGCAGAAAATGAGAAATACTATAGAGCAGAAAAAAAAAATCCAAGAAAAGTGCAAGGAGCATTCTAAGAAGTGACATGAAAGACATTCAGTGACAAGCAACCAAACACCAAAACCATGAGCATCCCAGAGTCTACAAGCCAGGGATGGCTTTCCTGACAGGCTGAAACACCATTTCCCCAATTTATCACGCAACTGCAACATGTCCACACTTTCTTACGATTGGCTTCATAACTCACTGTCTATAGATTGGTCTAAAGATTATATGACATCTGTAGAGTTAACAAATGACAGTACTGGCATCCATGTTTAAATTCTCCATGGTTAAGGAACTGTTAATAAATGTATTTGCATGATTGGTTTTTATATCAAAGAATATGGTCTTTAATTCTGAAAGAGAGCAGGTCTTTGGTTGATACATCAATGTTGTCTATCTTTATTTGTTTTCAGATATAATTTATCCAGTGTGATCCTTTTCTCCCTTGCTCGGGCTGAAAAAGGGACTGCTAACAGCAGTGGCCAAGAAGATAAGGTTCAATAATTGTATTGCCCCCCGTCTCAGTTTCCTCACCTGCAACAGGGGATCAATAAAACATCCCCACCTCCAAGGACACTGGTGTGGATTACCTCATTAAAAACACATGCTGAACAAAGACTGATCATTTATTATTAGAGAAGCCCAGAAATCCATCATTGGTTTGTACCTTCCTGGCATCTGTTTCCTTGGTAACCAGATTTGCAGGTGCAACTACCATTTTTGGCACTGCATCCCAGGGTGTTCTCCTCTACACACTGACATTCCAAAGAACAGGCAGTTCCATACGTCCCCCTGGGACAACCTGCAAGCAGAGTCAGGCAGGCTGGTCACCTGAAAACCATGCCTTGTTTATTTGAAATTGTTAGTGCACAGGCATGACATTCTTTGGGACCTGATTATAAGGAGAACAGGGGGATCATCATGACTGCCAAACCAAAAAAAAAAAAAAAAATGAGGCAACAAATGTCTTTCAAATCAGGCAATTCATTTGATTTTTGGCAAATGGACATGAACATTGAAGGCTGAATTACTTAAAAGGCCGCGGTGATGCTGGGAGAGAGATTGCTTCTCAAATGTGTGCTATTGCTGCCTGGACTTAATATTCTCCAAGGACTGCTTTGGCTGCCAGGCCCCTCATCATCCAGCTGAAGCCTGGAGATGATGGACAAGCACTTATGTGAAGGTTGGCCATTGTCCTGACTCCCCCTGATTATATGGCAATCAGAAATAATTTTACATCTCACAGATTACACAAAGCTTCCATTGTGACAGCGATATTATCTTGACCACTTCTGTGGCAAGTGCTGCTTGCCCTGTCTTCTTTGTTTTCCCCAGGCCATTGAGTTTTAAAGATGATGCGATCAGGACTGAAATTCTAACTTGAAAACATCCTGCCCTTGTGTTTAGGACAGCATCCCATAGTTCATGCATTCTCTCTCTTCCTCTTTCCAATTGCTTCTGCTGAGTTCTTAGAACAGCGCAATTCCCTTTCCTAAACAGATCTCTGACAATTATTTTGTTTCCCGGTTATTAATGTTCAAGAAACTTCTCAAATGAAATCTGTTTTAAGGTTCTTCTGGGATCAAAGTAATTGTTTGGTGTGCCCTTACAGGCTTTGCTGCAGAAAATGCAATGAATTGTGCTGCTTCCCCGGGGGACCGGAAATGACATTAATGGAGTTCATTCAATGTGGTGGTTATGATGACTCCTAAGGAATCCCACTCTGGTTGCCAGGGAAAGTGCAAATATCTTTAAAGGCAGACAATCAACAGAGCCATGTGGATGCTTCAATAATTGGGTCCAGTTCTGGTAACAAGTGATCGTTTTCATGACCACCAAGTTCCATAGACAGCATCAGCCTCACCAAGACTGGGGTCTGCTTCAATCTAGGTTCTTCTGCTTATTCCAGAATACATACTTGGTAATGAGTTTGGATAAAGAAAAAGTGGAAAGCCAGTATCTCTCAGGGTTTGTTAGGCATCGAGATAGAACACCCAGCATTTGAATTTTAAAGTCCTGATTTTCAGGACCTAAAAATGTGACTTTACTTCTGAATACATTAAGGATATAATGTTTTAAGACAAGGTTGTACTGGGATAAATGAGTTTCTAATTCAACACACATAATAAGCTTACAGACTGAGGGGTTTGCCAGAGACCTGCACGTAGTGAAAGCACCAGAGAAGGGCAGTATGATGGTGTAGGAGGTCCTTCTGTATTTGTGTTCCTTTCAATGGTTATTAAAGAAACTGCCTTGGCCTAGTTGATAGGGCGGAACTCAGGTAGGCATGGAAGACAGAACAGAATTCTGGGAAGAAGACCAGAGTCAGGCAGATGCCATGAAGCTCCTGCCTGAGTTTCGTGGTAAGCCATGACCTCATGATACTATATAGATTATTAGAATTGGGTTAGATCAAGATGTGAGAGTTAGCCAATAAGTGGCTAGAAATAGGCTAGGCAGTAATTTAATAAATACAATTTCTGTGTGATTATTTCAGGGGCTAAGCTAGCTGGGCGGCAGGACATGGCCCACCCCTTCTACTACAGTATAACGCCAAAGAAGGAATTTCCTATGGCAGGAAGAGGCCTGAACAGATCCCTCTGTAATATATTCAGATGGACCAGAAAACTACTGACACCTTGAAATTGGGCTCCCAGTTTCCAGAACTCTCAGACAATGGGTTTCTGCTTTGAGATACTCAGTTTGTGGCACTTGGTGTGGTTAGAAATATAATGTTGTAGGATTTGAGGTCCTTGGGGCTAGTCAAGTAACATTCATAAGTAAATCCAGAAGAACTAGGATGTGTGCAGTCTTCCTAAAGATTGTGGCATTTAAAATATTGATCATCACTACTACCACCTCACCATTACCACCACCAACACTTCTACAGCCACCGCCACCAGCAGCAACCCCACCATCACCACAGTCACCACCATCATCACCATCACTACCACAACCACCACCAACAACAACCCCACCATCACCACAGTTACCACCATCACCATCACTACCACCACCACCAGCAGCAGCAGCACCCCCTAAGACTCCCACCACCACATCTTGTTTACTGGTATTCTCTTAAGTCTTTACTCCTTACAGTTGGCAAGTGAGCCTGTTATCCCTGTTATTCAAATCCTAAGAATGCCAATTTTGTTACTGAAAAGTGAGCTTCCTAAACTTTTTGACAAGATGTATTGATTTAAGTTTTGTGTTCAAACATTTGGTATTAACATAAGATATTCAAAGGTTATTATTTCATATTGGATATATCTTGCAACAATTCAAGACCAATAACAGAAATGGTACGACCTTTGTTTCCAGCCAGGTTTTCTTCTCTAGGCATGCCTTAGGAGACGAAAGATAGTCTAGAATGTACCCTCCGTACCTCTGCTTTTCAGTTATTGATGGCTCTCTCTATTCTCTCCTTTATTTACCTAAGCGTAATCTTTGCTCATGGCCCACTATCAATTTACTATGATGCCTTCACTCAATCTCTTATTGGCTTATTCACAATTTACTATGTTTTTCCCAGAGACATTCCTTCTCTTAAGTATGTAAGTCCTATTGATATTAAATTAAAAATAAATTATAAATTATAGAAGGTAATGGTACCTTGATAACAGCAGTGTGAATGGTACTGTCCTCTTTAAATGGTTATGGTAGAATCTTATGCCCCTTGAAAAATGCTATTTGGAGGTTGGATTTTAGGAACATTGTTAGGTAGGGACGAAGGGTGTTTATTGTGAGATTAGTGCTTTAGTAATAAAGTCTGAGAGAATATTTGCTTGTCTTCCAAAAAGGAGGATGCACTGCCAGGAACTATCTAGGAACCAAAAAGTCACCTTTCAGAAGGGACCTTATGCAGATTTCCCAGACTGTAGAATTAAATACATATTTTATAATCTATCCATTTTATGGTATTCAGTCATAGCAAGCTAACCATACCAAAACACCAACATTCATTAGGAGAAATCTTCAGAGGACCTAGTTGCTCAATAGCAAGATGAGGGAAGGACCATAGGACAAGGAGCAGGAAGAGCTGAGGTCACTTTAGGGAGGGCTACACTCACTTCTGATTCATGGATTTTAGCTTCAGTGTTGGAGAAAAGCCCTTCCATGCCACTCCATGGACAAACTGTAGAAGTTACAGCTGAGCTTACAGACTCAGATATTTGGGGCATCGTTTGAAAACTGTGCATGGTCAGTGTAACGTAAGCAGAAGAGCTGTTCTGAATTTTAATGTTCTAGTGCTTTGTGCTAGACACAGAGACATGATCTAGGCCCCTCACAATCAGCGCCTACAACGTGACAGGTATTTACTTAATATCCAACAATCCTTGCTTGATAACTAAGAAAATCAGGAGATAGAAAAATTTAAAATTTGGAAATATTTTTTATTCATAAAAATCTAGATTCTGTAATTTAAAGAGCCCAAAGAACATAATAAAATCTTTGCCTCTATGAGTAGACGAACTAGGTTTTGTCTGATCTGTCCCCACACTATTCTAAGCCACTGTGCTTCACCCAGGGGCAAATCACAGCTGCGACTTACTGAGATGACAGAATCTTCCATAGCGCCCTAGGTCACATACGCAGGCACCATACACCCTGTGGCAATGGCCGTTGTTGGCACAGTGACATTTTCTTTTGCAGTTCTTCCCAAAGAACCCCTTTGGGCATCCTTCAAGGTATGGAAAAGAAGGAAATATTAGCTCACATTCCGAAATTGCTACAACCTTTGTTTATAAAACACAAATCCTGAGTTTCCACCCCTATCTGAGGAACAATAGACAGTTGATGGGTTGAGGGAAAGACAGTCACTGTCCTCTGGGGAGTTGGCCAATGGCAAGCGTTCATGTCCCAGCAGATGACCACATGCACACACGGACAGCACTACATGTATCCTTAGTAAGACATGAACTTGGGGGGAGGAGAAGGTGTGGTGCTCTAGGGGGAGCTGGAGTGAGATAGTGGAGGGCAGATGTGCTCAATATACATTGTATAAATGGATGGGACTTTAAAAAAAGAAATCTTTTTAATAGTACCTGAGAATTTCTTACAATGTATTTTAATCACACTCACGCCATCTCCTGCTACTCTTCCAAAATTCAGCTAACTTCCCTTCATAACCAACTTTGTATCTTCTTTTTCCTTTTCTTTTGTACACATCAAGTCTAATTTGTGATGCTCAAGGATTCTTGGATGTGGGCTCTTCCACTGGATTGTGGTAGATCTAGTAGAGGCGAAACTCTTACAGAAAACTGATTCTCCCAGCAGTTATCAATTGCTAATGGCTCCTCAGCTAGGGACTTCATGACCACTTCTTTCCATGCTGGGATTATGTGAGGCTTGAGCTGGCATAGGTCTTGTACATGCTGTCTCAATGGCTATGAGTTCATATGTGCCGCTGCCTTGCTGCATCTGGGAGACATTTTGTTTGTAGTCATCCACTTCTCTGGCTTTTAATTATATATATATATATATATATATATATGTATATATATATACATATAATATTATATATTATAGTACATCTATTTAGGATGTCATAGTGGAAGACAATAACTCCACAGGTGAAGTGCTTGTGGTAAAAATGTGAGGAGCTGAGCTCATTGATCAGAAGCAGATTTTTGTGTGTTTGAAGCCAACCTGGTCTACGTAATGAGTTCCATGTCAGCTATATCTGCGTAGTGAGACCCTTTCTAAAAACCAAACTGAAAGAGAAACCAAGACTTCATCTTGAAACCCAAGGTGCTCAGCATCCTGAGGAGTGACACTGGAGGTTGACTTCTGGTGTGGACACAGACCTGCACAATGTGTACCTGCAATCCACGCAGGCCCACAGTTGTCATTCTACTGTGGAGATAGACAGTAAAGAGAGAGTCAAAGGTGAAGAAAACCTCTAAATTAACAAGTAATGTAACTCTGAATTCTCCCAACATCTGTAGAAGAGAAAGTTTTTAAAAACGAAGATAAAAGATTCTAAGTGGCTTCCATAGTAGCTGGGTAATAGTATGTCTATCACTGTGACACTTACATAATTTCCTTATAATTTACTGAACAGATTCCCAAGAAGTTTGAGTAGATTCTGTCACAGAAGACCAACAAAGATACTGGGATAGTCATCTACTCAATGGGGAGGGTTGGGGTTAGGGCTGGGAGCCCCACTTTCCTGATTGCTACTCAATTTTATTTTTAATTTACTGGGTTGCATTTTAAAAGTCTATCATCTTTTAAATATGTAATTTATATGGATTTTAAAGATTATCAACACTCCCTTTGGATTGAAGAATTTAGTCGAAAGCTCTGAGTTGGTTTGGGTTGTTCTGTCTTTATTCTCAGACTGTGTTTTCTGAAACAGACTCTCCCAGAAAGGCACTGTTGAACACTCAGACATCTGCAAGGTTTTCCAGGAATGATGATGTGGACTTCTTGCCCTTTTATCACCTCGATCCCTTCGATCTCTCAGTGTGGGATTCGTATCAGTGATGCTTTCCTCTGATGCTTCAGAAGTAGATTGTCTAGTTTTGCTCCTCATGCTACCATGTCAAGGACCATGTGTTCAAGCCACACATGCATATCAATGGACTGCATGCTAAAAAATTCTTTATATTATAACAATAATATGATGACATTATATACACTTTATACTATGGAATATGTGATCATATGGGTTAATATAATTGAGGGTCCCTACCAAGATTTGTTCTATCTGTACTGATGTGGTTGGCATTTCAATGTAGAGTAACTTACAATAAATAAGAATGAGTTGTGCCTGACCAAGAAGAATACTCCTCAAGAAAGCTAAGTACAGTAAGAGAGGCTTGACATCCACTAGAAAGACCAAAGCTTGCAGAGGACACCACCTGAAGCTTTACATGACAGAAATGAATCTTCAGAGATCCATTTGCTCTGTGGAGCAACAGCCACAGAACTAGAACATGCAGAATATTAAGTAGTCAGTAGTTTACCTTTCTAGAAATAGTCAACTGGGCAAAAACTATGGTAAAGATTAAAAAAAAAAGGGGGGGTGGTTTATGAGAACCTAATTGTGGAAGGTTCCAAGTAACTAAGTATACATACAAACACACATACATACATACATACATACATACATACATACATAAACTACATAAAGGCAGTGGGCTCCTTAATAGGTTAAGAGCAGCAGAGAACATGATCACAGGAATTCTTGGGGAACAGCCTGAATACCTGAATAAGTGATCCTGGCCAAAAGATGTCACTGTGTCAGGACTTGAGTCCTGTGCCTGTGATATGCAGTAGAACATATCTTTGCTCTTTTTCTCTTGCGTGCAGTGAGCTAAAAAGAAAAATCTGCTCATACCATCTTCTAGATAATCATGAAGACACATATTTTTAAGTATATGAGCAAGATAAAAAGAGAAAACACTCAATGTATTTTATTTTATCATGTGGAAGTTTCAACTCCTAAAAGCTGTCTTCATTTAAAACACAAATGAAATGATATTTGGATAGCATCGTATTTAAATTTTTGATAGTTTCTCTTGAGAGATTTATATAAAAAGATGAAACTATCACCATTGGTTATGTTAATGTGATTTTTAAAAGGGGGAAGAGAGGTAAAAGAACAGAAGCAAGCCCAGTTAAACAATTTCATTTTTGAAAATTTTAAGCAAATTCACTGTACTTTGTAATACAAAGCACCCTGGTTTTCCATTGGAAAAAACTGGCCAGGTCTTGGTGATTTATTAGAGTCCAGGGTTTTTTTTATAAGATCAACCTTGTTAGGAGCCTTTATTAATTTCTGTTTTTTTTTTTTTTTGGTTTTTCGAGACAGGGTTTCTCTGTGGCTTTGGAGCCTGTCCTGGAACTAGCTCTGTAGACCAGGCTGGTCTCGAACTCACAGAGATCCGCCTGCCTCCGCCTCCCGAGTGCTGGGATTAAAGGCATGTGCCACCACCGCCCGGCCATTAATTTCTGTTTTGTGGGTTAGCAAAATTCGGAACATTACATTCCACTGGAAATATACAACATTTCCTTTCTGTCATATATTCAGTTTACAAATGCCACTATTCCCTATCATTCTTTAAAGCAAATATATTGATAGTCAATCGGTATATTTTAGGCTGCTTTTTTTTTTTTTTTTTTTTGGAGAAGAACTCACCCAAAGGAGCTGGCTGGTCTGCACCAGATGTTAGGGTGTTGCTTTCATTGCAAAGAATGCCAGTCCAGCCTTCAGGGCAGAAGCACCCACTCTTTCCTTGTTGGCATTTACCTCCATTCAGGCAGTTGTCACAGCTCAAGCTGCAGTCCAGGCCAAAGGTGCCATCTAAACAGACTGTCATGGGAAACCATCTTAGTTGACTCCTAGCTATATGTGTAACCAAAAATAAAGTAAAATACTTAAATCCTCAAAGGTAGTCACATCAGATATCTTTCCCCAAAAAAATCCAGAAAAGGACCTTTGCAAAGAGATAGCTCATAACACAGACCAGATTTTATTTTGGCAAGTTATAATATTAGATTATTGTTCCTTTTTAAAAGGGCTATGGGGAAGAAACAAACCAGGCCTATGACTGATTCTAGGGCAGAGAAGGGACAGAGAGTTCAGGCTTGTTATGCTTCCCTTTCTAGACTTTTCTATGCATATGTTATTGAAACTTACTATCATGTGTAAGGATGCACACATCTCAAATCTACCCACCAGCAGTCCACACTCTCAGATCAGGGTACAACATATTTACCTCTTACCTAAAATGTCAATGCTATTAGGGCTCATAAAAAAAGTACTACCATGGTCTCTGACACCACACATGTTTTTCTGAACGTTTTATAAACAGAATTGTACAGTAAGTGCTTTTGCAGTCAGGTTTCCTCTGTCAGTACAAACGCCTGTGACATTCCTCCCCATTCTGTGTATAATGTTCTGTTCCTTACTGAGAGGCAATCTGTTCACATCTTCGTTCTCTTCTTGAGGGAGATTGTCCTGATATGAGTACGTTCAGAGGTATTCTTTTATGCAGATGTTTATGCGTGGGCTCATGTTTCGTCCTCATCTTGGTGTGGGGGGATGGGTGGATGCAGGGCCTTGCTACTCTGGGCGGTGCTGGTTTCCACTTTGCGCATTTTCATCACAGCTGTGCTACTGAGCACGGCACCTGCCTTGCTTTCTTGACAGCTCTCTGTGGGACTGCATGGCCCATCTCATGACTGGCTAATGATCAAAGGAAAGACAGAAGAGGTGTAACTGGAACTCTCTCTTTTCAAACCTTGGTCAAATGATTTCATTTTGCCTACATGTGCTGTTCGCGACTACATTTCCTTTGATATTGAGTAGCCAAAACACCAGAAATTTAATAAGGGAACATTTAGATACTTCACCTTTATACAGAAGCATTGATAGTCTTATAAATGAACTATAATACAAATGTTTTACTGCCAGTTTCTATTTTCTATTTATTTATTTGTTTTTTATTTGGTGCATGTGCATATACATGTACAAATGGTGTGGTCAGGGCACAGCTGTTGGCAAGGGGTCACCTTTCTGCTATGTAGGTCCCAGATGTTGAACTCAGAAGGTTGTTCATGGTAGCAAGCATTTGCTCACTGAGCCATCAACACACTCCTTCACCTTGTACTAATTTCCACAAGTACTTTCATATCTTCTCTTTATTGTATAAAGATGGAAATCAAGAGATGATAAAGTTATAGGAAGTTCTGCGAAAGCAAAGGTTTTGGACCCATTTTTCTACTCAATCTCCCATCTCAACATCTGATGACCTTAACTATTGATAATGAAATTGCTTGGGTACCGTGTCTGAGTTATGGGATGATGAGGAGCCATAAACAGTGAAACCATCCTTTACTCACCCACTCTGTGCAAGGCTGTCAGACCCTGGAACTCTTCTTCTGCTTCCTGGTCTTCTTCATCGTCTTCATCTTCGTACGAAGCAGCCAAAGAAGGAGCAAGGTAAGGGAATGGCCGCGGTGAGTTTTCAACCAGGAGTCCTGGAAACCTCAGGATGTCTAGTGCCTCTTCTTCCTCCTCTAACTGCTCATCATCTAGAGCTCAGAGCAGAGAAGAAGACACTGGTTTTCAACACTGAGGCTAGAAGGAGGGAAAAGCAACCAAACATTGACAAATAGCGAGACGGCTATGCAAGGATGACTGACGGGCATAGAGCTCTGTGTAGGCTTTTCAAAGACCCGTTGTATCAGCAGCCAGATGCTGCTGGCATGGGGTTGAATGACAGTAGACAGAGTGAAGGGAAATAAAATAAGGCCAGAAAGAAAGAGGAGTGGGAGGAAAAGAAAAAGAATGAAGGGAGTCAGGAAGGAGGGAAGGAATGAGAGGAAAAGAGAAGGAAGAGAAGAAAGAAAGAAGGAGGGAAAGAGAGGGAGAGAAGGGTAGAAGGTAGAGAGAGAGACAGAGACCTGAAGGAGGGAGACAGAGTTCTAAAGTTTTCTTCTCCAGCACTCTGAAGAGCAGGAAGTGGAAGGAATTTACGAAAGACTCAGAAAATCCCTTGACTACTGACAGAGACAGGTCCTTCCATCACTTCCGATTCTGTATCCTTCTTCACAGGCGCAGTCATATGTCCCCACGGCGTTGATGCACAGCTGGTCACAGTCCACACTGACATCCAGGCACTCGTCCACATCTAGGGAGAGTAGAGTTAACCAGCACCTGCCCTTTTGTGGTATTGTGTGCCCTTTATTAACTAGCAGAGGCATCCTGTCACACAGAAAGCAAGTATAGCCCCTCAGTATCGCACATACCTACCCAGTGACTTGCTTTCGTTCATTTGCAAGTTTACCGAAGACTGGCCACACAAACGAATGTTTTCTGAGCTTTCTTTGTGTAGCTTGGATGAAGAACATAAAACTTAAATTCGATGGTTCCAAGCTGTGCCTTATTCTGCAAAAATGTACTAATTTCTCAGCTCAAGTATGTGAGTGAACATTTTTGCATCATTCCACGCAGGGTCCACAGAGAACTTTTGACACAGAAGAATACTAACTAGTGTGTCCTCGTGTAGCGATCAGATTTATGACTGAATCTGAGTTCATAGCCAATCCGTGTGTTAGATACATGGAGAGTCCCAGAGTGAAGCCACACTTCAACTACACCTCAGACTGTGCACACCTAACCCTATGGGTATGCGCAAGTGTGCGCCTTCATGTCATACAATCAGATCTTGGCTCACTCCTCTTCGGAGCAGATGGTGCATAAAATGCAGCTTTTGTTGGCTCTGTTAATTGGATGGAAATGATGAATCTGCTCCGCTGTGTTTAGATATATAGATAGCACAGTGTGTTTTTCTCGGATCTACACTGAAGGGCTGGCTGGTAGTGGTTTAAAGCCTGGCTACCATCAGAATTCAGGATTTGTCTCTTTAAGCAATGAAACTCCACGTTCTTTGTGACATTAATGTCATATATTTGACTTGATGCTGGAATAGATCGTAATGCTATGAACTGTGGATAGATTTAATGAAAATACATTTTTAATAATAATAATTGCAAAATTAAAAAATCAATAATGTATTTAAGATAATTTTTGTTTTTAAATTAACTCTATATAACCATAGAGAGCAATTGATTATACGATAGCATGCTTATACACACATAACATTCAGTTTCAACCTCATTCTTACTTTCCCCCATTGCCCTACCCTAATCTCTTTGTCCTTACTTTTAACCCCTTTCTCCCCATTGCTGCCCTTTGACTTTAATGTCACTTGTATCCTATCACCCTCTCTAGCCCCTCCCACTTAAAATTTCCCCCTTCTTCTCCTATAGCTGCCCTTCGACTTTTATGTCACTGGAATTCCATTACAACCTCTAATGCCTCCCACCTATCTTCTCTCTCTTCCCACTTTCTGTCTCCTTTCTACTTTAAAGGAACAAATAGATTTAAGTTTAGATTATGCATATGAAAAAAATGTGGTTATTGTCTTTCTGGATCTGTTTTATTTCACTTAATTACAAATGACCCCTAGTTGTATATTTTTTTTTTTCAAAAAATGATCTGATTTCATCTTTCTGGGGATGGATAAAATTCTGTTGGATACATGTTCCACATTTTCTGCATTTATTCTTCTGCTGATCGCCATGTAGGCTGGTTCTGTGCCTTGGTTATGATGAGCAGGGCAGTAGTAATTATGGATGTGAAGCATCATGTGGAAGGGTTACCTCACCCTTCCATCCTATACAGAGTGGTGGAGCCCCATTATATGGCAGTTCTAGTTCCTGAGTTTTGAGAGTCTTCCTAAGAGGGCCATGAAAGTTTGCCTTCTCTCCAACAGTGCATGAGATTTCTTCTTTCCTCATGTCCTCTCTGCTGTTTTTAATAACAGCCACATGACTTAGATGAGATGGAAGTTAAAAGTAGTTTCAATGTGCATTTCCTTGGCAGCTAAGCATGTTGAATTTTTTTCAAATATTTATGCCATTTTTTATTCGTTGTTTTGAGCACTAATAAACTATTATGCTCATTGATAAATTTAGCAATGGATATATTAGGGGCTTTTTAGTTTTTAAATTTTGCAGCTCTTTCTATATTGTAGCTATTAATCCACTCTGTAACATTGGATGACAAAAATAATTTTTCTGCTCTTTAGATTGTCTCTTCATTCTGGTGATTGTTTCCTTTGCTGTGTAGAAGCATTTTTAGGTTCTTGAAATCTAACTTATAAATTATTGGGATTTCTCTCTTGGTACTGGAATCAACTGAAGAAAGTTCTTTCTTATGCCTCTATCTCAAAGTGTTTTTTCCATAGATTTTTTTTTTCTAGTAGATCAAAGCTTCATGTGTCTCACTAAGATGTCTGGTTCATTTTGTAGCAATTTTTGTAAAGGGAGAGAAATACGGATTAACTTTCTTTATTCTACAGGTGGCTATCTAATTTTCACTGCATTTGTTGAAGGACCCCTCCCCCAACTCCTGTAACCTCAGTGTTGGTTGGTACAGATGGATGTGTCCTGGGAGCTCACTTGCCAATCTTTCTAGCAGAAATGGTGAGCTCCAGGTCCAGCAAAAGACCCTGTCTCAAAAAGAGGCTGGAGAAGCAGTTGAGAAAGACACCAACATCAATCTCTAGCCTCCACGTGTATCCACATGAGTGGCTGCATCCACATACTTACAAACACACACACATACAAACACACATGAGAGAGAGAGAGAGAGAGAGAGAGAGAGAGAGAGAGAGAGAGAGAGAAAGAGAGAAAAGAGAGGGAGGGAGAGAGAGGGAGAGAGAGAGAAAGAGAGGGAGGGAGAGAGAGGGAGAGAGAGGGAGGGAGAGAGAGAGTGCAATACTCACTCTCCAGACTCCAGATCTTTATATGATTTCTGAAGGAAGACACTATTAATTAGGAAAGCAAAAGAATGAATAAATTTCCTACAATGAAGAGATGATTAAAAGATAGCTAAGAAGGAATCTCTCATATCCAATACTAACCAGAAATCCTCTAACGGTAGTAGAGGAGGGAAAAAAGGAATAAACAGTAATCCAACTAACAACAATGACAAAAGAGTAATTGGCAGCATCTCTAATAACAGCTGCCTTCAGAGGAGTGCTTATCTTGTTCTTTACCTTTATTGTTGTTAACTTCCCTTAATTTACTCCCTAACCCTATTTCTGTCTTCATTCCACTGACTGAAATCTCGGGTTCTTCCAAGTATGAGCCACCAAAGGACATAGGCTGTCACACGATGCAACACAGAACTCCACATTTCTCTAGCGTGAATGGCACCGCTTCCAAGCTCCGGCCCCCAGTTGCACATCACATCAGTAGATCCATGAGATAGCAGGAATTTACCATCACATCCACAGCCGTCCGAACTGATCCGAAAGCCTTCCTGACAGCCACATTCGTAGCCTCCTGAATAGTTGATGCAGAGCTGGGCACAGCAGGCCTCTCCACTCTTACATTCATCAAAGTCTGAAGGGCAGAGGACATTTGTGTTATCCCAGGAAGCAGAATCCAACAAAACTGAAGAAGCTTTGCGAGGCCCCATTTCTGAATTAAACCTGATTAGCCATTTCTCACTTCTCAGGCCGTGTAGTAGAGACATTGAAGAAACAATCCCATAAAAATACGATACCACTTTTGGTTTATGTTTCTGGTATGTTCCTTACATGTCTGTTATTTAATTTACAGGATTATAAGTTATCTTTAAATGCATTTATAATTATAGGAATAGAGTTCTCTGCTACCTTTTCCAGTTTCAAAAGCAATATGACTGAATAAATAGAACTTGAGGAACAAAAAGGCAGAATTAAGGATGAAGATCCAAAGAATTCCACTTAGTAACTAATGTTTGACAGCCGCAGAAAGCACAGCTACAAACTTTGTAATGTGCCTGTTCTTTAAGACTGCAGATCAAGAGTGTTCCCAAATAAACATTCCCCTTGTACTCAATGAGGGAGAGGAGGGGGAACTGTATTTCTGTGAGATGGAAGGAGGCACCCTTACTTCACATACTGTGTATTAAATTCTGGAGTATTCCAGAGTATTCCCTAAAAGGTGCTGATGCTGCATCGCGTGGGATGAGTGAGGTCCACATGCGAGGGTTTGCTACAGCTGTGAAGTCAATCCCCTGTCAGGTGAGTAGCTGTTTAGATAGCATTATCATCGAGAACTCTACAATTGTGAATGCTTGTTAAGACACGGCTGGCCTAGGGACAACCAAAAAGCTCCAGTAGTTGTCAGGAAACCCCACAGCCAAACAGCGATCTGCTCGGCCCAAGCTTTACAGGGTCACTCTGGGCAGAAGAGTGAAAGGCTGCTGTAGACACTCGCTCTTTTCCTGTGCTCTGGGCTGCCAGGGACTGCATGATGAAGGCACTGGCTTTCAGCCCCTGGCTCAGTTCTAGCCTGCCTGCTGAGCTGTTAGGTTGGGTGGCTGGGACTGCTGAGCATACAGAATCCTATTGCTCCAGGACTACGTGAGCGACCACTGGTACAGAGAGGTCAGTGTCTCAATTAAGCCGGGAGAGTCAGTAGAGGCAGGGAAATGAAGACAAGAGACCGGAAGGAAGGAAAGAAAATGCAAGCAGCCGGTCAAGGTGAGGGGTCACTATCTAAATGAAGGTCATCTGGCACAATGCGTTCTTTTTCTAGCAAAATGTCACCAGGAGCTCCACTCAGAAGACTGCAGATAGACTGCAGATATTAGCTTTCATCATATTAAGCCTTCCCTTGCCCTTTAGATTAAACAAGGTGAACATAGAAGTTAAAAAATACAAAAGATAAAGTATTTTTTACTTCATTTAAAACAGTACTCTTTGTGATTTTTTAAAATTTTTTTTAGATATTTTTGTTTTCTTTTTTCTTTTAAAAAAGCCTTCTTGCTAACAGGTCTCAACTAGCAAGGGACTGGCTATGTCACATAATCTGAAAATATCCCTTGTTCTGATTGTTATTATGTGTTAATTTCTGATTGTTTTGCCATTTCCATTCTCCAGGGAAATTTCTTACCTTGCACACTGATTTCAGCTCACAATCTCAACAGAAACTGACCTTTTCTATGGTAGAATTCATGTGGGGGGCGAAGAGGTGCACATGGATGTCATGTGTGTGTGAGTAGACATGCATGCCCTGTGTGATGTGGGTGCACATGCAACATGGGGTCACAGGGGGTGGACACATGCATGCCATATGGGGGAGGGTACACATGAATGTCAAGTGAGGGATGTACATGTGTCATTGGTAAAATCATGTAGGAACTCAAATGCATGTCATGTGTGTGAGTAAACATGTATGTCATGTATGTGAGCGTGCATGCACGACATGTGGGGGAGTGTACATGCATGTCATGTGGGGGAGTGCACATAGATTTCATCTGTGGGAGTGCACATGCATGTCATGTGGGGGAGTGTACATGCATGGCATCTGTGGGAGTGCACATGCATGTCATGTATGTGAGTGTGCACGCATGACACGTGGGGAGTGTACATGCATGTCATGTGTAGGAGTGCACATAAATGTCATGTGGGGGAGAGTAAATGCATGTCATGTGGAGGAGTGTACATTTATGTCATGTGGGGGAGTTCACATGCATGTCATGTGGGGATTTTACATGCATGTCATGTGGGGGAGTTCACATGCATGTCATGTTGGGGATTTTACATGCATGTCATGTGGAGGACCACACATGCATGTCACGTTGGAGAGTGAACATGCAAGTCATGTAGGGGAGTATGCATGCATGTCATGTGGGGGATCACACATGCATGTCACGTTAGAGAGTGAACATGCAAGTCATGTAGGGGAGTATGCATGCATGTCATGTTGGGGATTTTACATGCATGTCATGTGGGGGACCACACATGCATGTCATGTTAGAGAGTGAACATGCAAGTCATATAGGGGAGTGTGCATGCATGTCTTGTGGGGGAGTGTGCATGGATGTCTTGTGGGGCATGCACATGCACCATTGGTCAAGTCATATGGGGGATACACACGCATGGTATGTGGGGGGCACACATACCTGTGGTGCATGGAAGTGCACATGTATCATGCGTCTTCCTCAATGCTCTCTTCACTTCATGTTTTGAGAAAGGGTCTTAGTCACTGCATCAACTGGCTAGCAAGCCAAGAGTTTCCTCTGTCTCCCCCAAGGAGTCCTGGGATTACATGCCCAGGCTTTTATGTGGGTGCTGGACCAGAATTCATGTTTTCATATGTACAGAGCGAGGAGTTCACAGACTTAGTTCTCACTCGAATCTTTTCTGACACTGTTACTTCAACCTTAACACCAGCCGCTTTTGTACATTTCTTTATTTCTTTCCATAGCCCTGATGGAACTGTTAATCATCTGAGTTCCTGTTTTGTTCAGACTTTAAGGCTTTTGGCTGCTGTTCAGGCTGCAACACCACTGCAGAGATGTAATGCACCTCTCACCTGAACAGGAAAAGCCAGCCCCAGACTGCTGCAGAGACATAATGCAACTCTCACTGGAAGAGAGAAAACCAACCCCCAAAACTGGAAGATTCATGTACTGAGGTGAAATGCTGAACCACTCAGTTCTGAAAAGCATCAGCGTGAAAAGCCCCGTCCTCTGTCCACAGCCACTGAAGGAAAGTTGCCAGTATTTCTCAGTATCTAGCCTTTTGGATAGCTTGACAAACCTCACTGTGATCCGACAACGGTTTCTCCAGTGACCCTTTACCCCTTTCTCTAGGTTCAGGACTGGACTTCTGCACTCTGGCAAGGCTGACCATTGGTGTGATAGCTGTACTTGGACCACTTTCATCTTTTCTTCTATGTCTCCATCTTGAGAAAATACCTCATAGTAACATATGATAGAACTCGTGGCTGGTTTAACAGAGCAACAGGCAGCAAGAAGGGTGGGGTGACCTCATGGTCTAAGGAAGCCATTGCTTTTGTCTTGGTGAATATATGATTTTCAGAAATAGGCATTTTATCATTGAAAAAATAAAGGAAAATAAACTATAAGCAGTGTAACATTGCCTTGTTGACTGCTGAAATCTCATAAATACGCAGTTTCCTGCATTTTGACCCTAGCAGATGCTATATTTTTCTAGCTTTAATAAGTTTCCTGAATTGTACTTTTCAAAGACTAAAGACATCAAGGTTTAAAAGAATATAAGAAGAAATGCATTAATTAAAATATAAAGAAAAGATGTAACTTATCAGTTTTCTTTATTTAGTGCTCATGAAAAACAAAATGAGAAGGGAAAAAGAAAGGAAAGAAGGAAGGAAGGAGAGAGGAAGAGAACAATTCATTTCTTTCATAAATTTAAATATTAATGAGACAGAAAATATGGCACAGTTTACATTGCAAGAGACTCAAAGAAGACAATTGGTTCTGATTTGTTGGGCTCTGTTAACTCATAGCAGTGTAAAAAGCATTCCTGGATCAAGAAACATATGCAATGGCTTTGTTTAGGCTTAAATAGTCTTGAGAGACCAGAGTACTGTAAATTCCATGATAGTGTTCTCTCACGGTGCCCAAGTACAAAACCAAATAACCCAGTCCAGTGCCTTTGCTACCTCTGCATTCCTGCTCTACAGAGCCAGAATAGCGTGCAGCGAAACTGAGGCTCTCTAGCATTCTTCCTGTCGCTATAAGGAGTGAGAACACATGCCTTCATTAAGAAAATAAGCAAATGTAGCACTTCCATTTTAGAACGAAGACATCACTATCTGGGGGCTTGGCAGATTCAGAAGCGGAACCCAGCAGTGCTGCTTCACACTGGATCGGTTGCCTCTTAGCGGAGAAACACTGGGAGACCTCCATTCGGCATTTCTCTATGAGGGAAGGCTGGGTTGGGATTATTCTTCTCATTGTTGCAAATGATCTAAACAATAATCATTATTACTAATAAATGAATGAATGATGCAACCTCTGGTAATATGTTGTTAAAGCCACCCACTAAAAATGGGTTTGGGGGGCTAGAGAGATGGCTCAGTGGTTAAGAAGATGACTTGCTCTCGCAGTGGCCCCAAGTTATCTTCCCAGCACCCATACCAGGCAGCTTATAATCACTAGAAACACTGGGTCCAGGGGATCTGAGTCCCTTTTCTGGACTTACTGACTTGTTGCACTCACATGTCCACATACCCGTGCACAAACACACAAATGCGCATAGTTAAAGAAGCGGGCTTGACCTGGGATGTCCAAAGAATGATTATCTTTTAAATTTTTCTTTTGGTAAAAGCTTCTATAGCATAATTGGACATTCATCTAATTCATTACCATACTGAAAAGCAAGGAGCATGATTTCATTTCTGCTTGAGGTAGGAAGACTTGGAACTGACAGCTGTATCTATTCTGAGCATACAAACCTGGTAGATTTGAGAGAACTTAGAATATTTTCCTGAAACAAAAGAGTAAGTTTTAGTCACATACAGTTACTAGCATATATATATATATTTAATGATATATATAAAAATACTTTTAATGATATATATATATGTGTGTGTGTGTGTGTGTGTGTGTGTGTGTGTATGCATATATACACACTTTCTTTAGGGACTGCAAAGCGTGTGTGTGTGTATCCTTAATTTCAGGGAAAATATCCAAGTCTACAATGTCTTTGCTATGTATCAATGGTCAGGTACACAGCTTAGTGTATTTGTCTCTCTTCAGTCTGAGGGTTGTGGCTCACACTGTAGCAATGGGTATCAGAATGAAAGTCCTAAAGCAGTCCAGAGAAACTCCGAATGAAGATGGCATTTACCGAACATTACCTATGCATGTTTTCTCATCTGCGTCGAGTCGATGTCCATGGTTACAGGAGCAATGGGGCCCACCAATCGCAGGTTCGCAGTGGTCAGAGCAGCCCCCATTGTTCTTCTCACAGCTATTTACAATCTCTAGTTCAATTCCTTCCCAAAACAAGCAAAAGAGGGCTATTAGCATAATAATAGAGAAAATGGAATATATGTTAACAATGGACGTGCCTTCTCTTTGGAGAGGATGACTCATTCTATTGAAAATATATTAACACTTTATGCATATAAAACTCTAAGGCTTATCATGAAAGACACATCATGAATATACAAGCCTATGCTGTGTTGTACTACTAAGTGATAAGAAGTATTGATAAGCAAAGTAATAAGAGGAGAAGAAATGCAGTGATGAATCCATCAGTGGCTACTAGATACTATAAAAGACACTTCCTTTAGGGACTGCAAAGCATGTGTGCATGCGTGTGTGTGTGTATTAAAGTTGATAATTGTTCTTTTCAGTGACTTTAGGTTAATGAAATGACTATTAAAAGTAACTTGGTGTTGACGAGATACTAAACCAATGTACTGGCTGATCATATGTAAGTTGCATCTTGTGAGAGTGCTAACCAGATTTGATGCCTATAAAACACACTTATCACATTAGCATACTATTATTTTGGAAACATGTCACCATCCCCGGCATATGCTAGTAATTTGGACATATTGGTGAGCATCAGGCCCAGCATCTGAATGTCGACTGGCCTGAGCATTCAGACGTTGTAGCCTCTGATTTTCTAAATGAAGACACAGGAAGTAAAAGAAAGCTTGGCTCGGTGTTTCAAGTGTAAAATTTCAATGCGCTGACCACTGTTTACTTGGTCATTTCTGCCAAAAAGGTGTGGGCACCCTGCACTCATTGATTGCCCCCATATTGGCTTATTACCTTATGCGGTTAATGCCCCAGTCCGTTGGAAGAAGAATATGAAAAATAACAGGACAAATGCACCTGGGATTGGGGCACTCCCTGTGAACATGTTTCATCCTGACACTGTGTGGAGAACCTGTAGCCTCCAAGATTGTGCTTGACCACTACAGCCTGTGGCACACTGTCCCCAACCAGCACTGCAGGTCCCTGCCACTCTGAGCCCACGGTGCCTTCTTCATTTTGCCTTAGTAGCTCCCAGCAAATGTTCAAACATACATTCCCAAAGATTGGTGAAATCAATGGAGATTCTGCCAATCAGTTTCTTGGATAAAGGTGAAGCCAGAGTCCACAGCACGCCCGTCCCCTAGAGGAGCTGCGTTTACGCTTAAATAGCATCATTCTCTGACCAGATCTCCTTGGCCTGTGCGTGCGGAAACACCTCAGAACTCAGATTTTCACTGAGAAGCGTTTGTATGTCAGTAGTAAACATTGAGGTGTGGAGACGACCTTAGAGGGGACTTAGTTAAATATTCCCATCAGGAAAGTAAATGGAAAAACGCACTTCCACCCAACACGGGCGACTCTAAGGCAAATTGCTTTCCTGAGTAAATTCTAAAGAAAGCTTGTAAATTATAAACCACTATTGATAATGATCCCTGCGTTCATGGTGCCTGAGAACTTGCAGGCCAGTTTGCAAGATTCATTTGCACATTTTAAAATATGCTCACCCCCTAAATGTCTGGCTATATTTCAAAACCAAACATTAATAAAGAAAATCCCATCCCCATTTTCTCTTCCTGCAAGGGGAGTTCTGCAGGCATTCTGAAAGGGCTCAACCTCAGAAGTCCATTCTTAATTAATAGTCAGTTTCTCTCCCATTGTATTTACTTTGCTCTTTCAAAGGCAAACACACTGTGAAGAAGCTGCCCTATAAACACAGTAGTAACGCATCGGTAGACTGGAACAGTACTTCAACTACCGGGAAACAGAATTCTATGCAGAGGAGAGTAAATTTCCAGACTTCTCACGGTGTCTCCTCATGAAGAAGCCCAGGAAGAATGTGAACATGCTTGCTTGTCTATCTTTCTCTGTGTGTTCTTTGTCTCTCACCAGTAAAAAGACATACAGTGCATGGAAACGGTGGTGAAGTCGAAGGTCTTGTTTATGCATAATTGAAAGGCTCTTCAAGTCCCAGCCCTAAGACTTAGTGACTAGTGCTATGAGCATTGTGGCATTAGCAGTGAGTGTGAAAGACTGCAAAGAACACCTCCAAGAAAGAGCTGCCACCTAGAATGTAGTAGCTGTCACTCATGTAAGTTAGGCCACCGAGTATGCAGTTAAGGAATGTCATTAGAAGAAGAGGAAATGGAAGCACAAATATTGAGACAGGGAAGAGATGGGGCCGAGGAACTAGGACAGTGGAGGAAGGAAGAGAGCATTTCGGGAGCAAAGAAAGTCATTGTCTTGGTTTGGTATCTAATGCTGTGATAAACAGCACAGCCAGAAACAACCTGGGAAAGATGGGGTTGTTTTAGCTTACATATCCCAATTAATCATAATCCGTCACGGAGCAAAACTAAGGCAGGAACTCAAGCAGGGAAGGAAGCTGGAAGCAGGAACTGAAGCAAGAGCTATGGAAGAACTCTGCTCCCTGGCTTACTCTCCAGGGCTGGCTCAGCCTACTTGCAAACACAGTGACTTCCACATGAATCATTAGTCAAGAAAATGGCCCGCAGCCTTGTCTATAGGCTACTCTGATAAAGTCATTTTCTCAGCTGAAGTTCTCTCTCCCCCATACCCTAGCTTATGTCAAGTTGACCAAAATGATCCAACACAGTAACCAACTGCTGGAAGACACTGAAACTTGACAAAACTGGGCAGGTTTTAATTTTATCTAGAAACATGAAAGGATAAAGATGAAAGAGTCAATGGAGGGTCAGGGAGGGTCAGACCTGCTAGCATGGGTTGATGAGAAGTTAGGAGGTGAGAGAGAGAGAGAGAGAGAGAGAGAGAGAGAGAGAGAGAGAATGCTTATTTTGGCTAATGAAATTTTTGTTGTGGAAATTCTAGCGGATGTGAGCTCACTTGAGAGTACTTTTAAGATAGGAAATGTTTGTAATGTTAATTTAGAACACAGTAATAATGATGATCCAGACAAGAAGGGGATTATTTATGAGGGCAATCTTTTGATTCCACCGTAATGCCCAAAGAAGCCTAGAGCTGTTCTTTTCTCTTATGTTTTCTTCACCCATGCTTTTTCCTCTTCTTTGGGCATTACAGTGGAACCTTTAGTGCTGAGCAGAGGTGATACAAGAAGACAGAACTTCACAAACCATCAGAGTCATTAATTCAAGATTTTCTGGTCAGAAAACCTGAAAGTCCACCCTCGCTGACTAGCCTGCAAACCATACTGCAGACTCTGTTCTATTTGCCTCTTTCCTCAACAACAGAATGAAACCGGTTGCACTTGTCAGTCCCCATCCCCACTCTGTCCCACCAGGGAAAGTGCTCGGGTACTTTCTCTTAGCCAACATTTTCAGTGCTGGTCTTTCAATTATCACTCTTGCTTGCTACTTGTAACACCTGACTCACTTCCAAGGCTGTCATGGTTGCTACTTACGGTAACAATGTTTCCCGTCAGCTCCTAGCTCAAAGCCGGGGTGGCAGGCACACCTGAAGGACCCCTCTGAGTTCACACAGCGATGAGCACAGGGAGCAAGCTCTTGAGAACACTCGTCTATGTCTACAGGGAGAGACACACAGCATCTGTCTTAGCATCTCCAATCCAGCCTTATTTGTGAATTATAAAAATGAATATACTGTCACCTTCCACTTAGCCTTTAATTTTCAACACAATACTAGATACCACAGACTCCATCCACTTAGCGAGAAAGAGGGACTTGTGAGCACAAAGATGCTATGACTACACATCCTGAGTTAGTCTGATGCTCACTAGTGTTTCTTCCCGTCCACCAAACCCAGCTGCTATTAACTGGGAAACATGAATAGATCTAAAGATAATAGTTCTAATCCACTCCCCAGCAGCACAGAGGCCACTGTAGTCTGACATTATGAACACAGCATATTATTAAATAGATACTCCAATCCCCTGGCTTTTTCTTTACTTTTGAGATTGTATGTTAATTACAACATTTTCCCCCACTCTTCCCACCCTCCAAAGCCCCCCATATTCCCTTTTCCACTCTTCTTCAAATTTATGGGTTCTTTCTTCTTCAGTTTTTATTGCATGCATAAATGTATTTGTATATAGACATATGTTCCCAAATATGACCTGTTGCAGCTTCCTGCTTTAAAAGGAGAGGTGCAGTGATGGGCAACTCAGATGTGGGGCCTTTCTCATAGCAACCCAGACTTGGTCCATATACATCTTTGTAACTGTTATGACTATGATACGACATGCCATATGATTCTGGTATTCTCCTGAAAGAGATGGCCACTTTGATTCAACACGACTTCAGTTTGGGGGTCCAGGTAACCTCTTCCTTTTACCTGAAGAGGTCCTGTCACATCTTTTCTGATTAGTACATCTTTTCCCCTCATATTTGGCTGCCATTCACATTCTCATGTACTGGTGGAGCCCTCAAATATGCAGTGGTGTTGGGGAGAGATTTCTAGGATTACTGCATCTGACATTAAAATAGGAGTCTGAAAAATGAAAGTTATCTGTTTTTCTATTTATCTTGTTTGTTGGTGTTCAATAGACAATACTTAAGATCCTCTACCATCCCTTCTGTCAGTTGCCAAGCTAGGTTAGTGCTGAGAAATGAAAAGCAAGGATTGGGCCCACGGCTGAGCAGTTAAGAGCACTGCCTGCTCTTCTAGAGGGTCCAGGTTCAATTCCCAGCACCCATCTGGCAGCTCACATCTTCATTCGGTCACTCCAGTTCCAGGGAATATGCTGCCCTGTTCTGGCCTCTGTGCGTACTGCATGCACATGGTACACAAACATAGGCAAAGCACCATACATATTTAAAATAGTAAAGCAGTAATTAAAAAAGACATGGAAACCAAAGTAGTATATCTTTGCCAAAATAATATGCTTAAAATTCGTAAAGCTGTTTTCTTTGTATTTCACTTCACTTATTTTCTGTGCATGTGTGCGTATGTGAACGGGGACCGATGTCAAGGTACATGAGAGTGGTCAGAGGCCAGCCAGCAGCAGTTGGCTCTCTTCTTCCACCATATGGGACCTGGGACTTGAACTCAGGTTGCTAGATGTCGCTGGAGACTTTCTCTGTCCTGCCCAGTCCCACTGGGTTTGTTTCTCTCCCACCTGCCAGTCCCCACAGTCGCTCATAAAATAATCATTCGAGGAGGCTTAATATTAATTATAATTGCTTGACTGATGTCCCAGGCTTCTTACCGACTAGTTCCTACATGTAAATTAATCCATTTCTAATAATCTGTGTATTGCCACTTGACCTGTGGTTTACCAGTAATGTTCTGGCATCTTACTCCTCTGGCTGCTCCTAGCATCTCCCCACTCCACCTTTTTCTCCCATTCTCTCTGCCTGGATTTCCCACCTATTTATAGTCTGCCCTACCATAGGCCAAAGCAGCTTCCTTATTAACCAATGGCAATAAAACATATTCGTAGCATACAGAGGGGCATCTCACTTTATCTAGGCCCAAACCTGTAAAAGCTGAGCCATTTCACCAGCCTTCATCCCCCCATCCCAATCTCACAATGATTTTTATGTCTAGTTTGTATTCAATTTCTCAAAATGTTTCTCAGTCCTGTAAACCAAGAAATATTTTGCTGTTTTCATAATTAATCCAAATAAATTTTCTCATTTCATGGAGATGCCATGATAAAAATGAAGAATTCTGTGGTTTCTCAGAAGTTATTAAAGCAAAGACTGTCCCACAGGGCTTCTTTCATTCTCCATTGGTGCCAGTCATGAAATAATTTAGCCCTTTCATCTCCGAACTGAAGTGTGGCTGCTTTGCTATTTCTGGAAACAGAACTGTGTAACCTTGTGTTTATGGCGTTTCTTTCTCCTCTCGTTTTAATTATTCCTAAGTTCTGAGAGCTTCATTTGCACACACTTGCTTTTCAAAGGTTACCTCCACCTCTGTAGCCTATAATCAAAAACTCCCTATGTGGTTAACTGAGGGGTTTGAAATATTAATTCTCGATTTTTCTTTAAAAAAAGAAACAGAAAACAAAACAAAACAAAAAACATTACCTCTGAAAGCACACTAAGTCATTTTTTAAAATAAGGAAGAATTTCACTATGTTTTTTTGTAGCAGTCTAAAATACTTTCATAGTGATCAAGTAAAGAATTAAAGTGTTCATTTTTAGCATAAATAAAAACACCTTTTCTCCTACCTACTCCAACTGTTCAATATGACTGCAACAGAATTTCAAACAATTACCCAATTAAGATATCAGTTTCAGCTTCCTACCTTCACAGGCCTTTTTGTCTGCAGACAGCTGGTACCCAGCATGGCAGGCACACCTGGCCACACCGTTCTCACTTTGGCATAGGTGAGCACATTCATTCCTTCCTGCACAGGGGTCTGTCTCTGAAAGCAACGAAGCAGTCAGTGATCATAATTCACTCAGTTTAGAAAGATGTGCATAGTGGATGGCTGGATAAAGAAAAGTCACAAAGATATTAGAGTCATGGGTTTCCCATTTAAAGATGTTTAGATTCCAGAATGGTGTTTCCAGCTTTCGAATGGAACTCATTCAACAAACACATTTCTGCTTTTGCATCTGAGACCTGTTTCTGGGCAAGATAAAGAGATCAAGATCAAAAGGGACTTAACCTAACGTCCCTGTTTCCAAGTTCTGATCCCCTGCCCTCTGCTATACAAGGGAACCAACCACAGTTCTGTAACATGTCTTAACTAATATCCCTGTTTCCAAGTTCTGATCCCCTTCCCTCTGATCCACAAGGCAACCAACCACAGTTCTGCAGCATGACTCCGGTCTGTTTCTCTAGCTACAGTTGTCCACCTTTGGACTGTCATGTTCTCATTGCATCAGCTCCTTCCCTAGATTCCCCCTGATACTGGGTCAATTGTCAGGGTGTCAGGAAAAGGCATGTGGAGAAACAAAGGTGGGATTCCTGGCTCTTAAGGACAGGGTCTTTGTATGTAACCCAGGGTGGCCACGAACCCAGCCTGATCTCCCCAGCTCTGGCTTCAGAATGTTATGACATTCTGGTTGTTCAGGGTCACAACCATGTTCCACCACACTTGCTAGTAATTACATTTGAAATTTCTGAGTGTCTTTGGTTGTCTCAGACCAATTATTGGTCCCAGACTATAATTATTGTTATAAACTGTTAAGTGAGGTTTTCTTGTATTTGTTAGGAGTTTTAAATTTGAGAAATGTTCATTTATTCTATAGTCTTCTCCCGTGGGACAATGGTCTGTTCCCTGTCACTTGTATTTTAAATAAATGCTGATTGGCCAGTAACCAGGCAGAAAGTATAGGCGGAACGAGCAACCAGGCAGAAAGCAGAGAAGGGGAAATGAGAACAGGAGAATTTTGGGAAGAGAGTCAGTTTGCAGTCGACACAGAGGAACCCAGACACAGATCAAGCAAGATGTGACTGTCTTGCCAAAAATGGTACCAAGCCACGTGGCTAACACAGACAAGAATTGTGGGCTATTATAAGTTCTAAGAGTTAATAAGAAACCTGAGCTATTAGACCAAACAGTTTATAATTAATATAGACCTCTGTGTATTTCTTTGGGACTGAATGGCTGCAGGACCGGGCAGAACAGAAACCTTGGACAATTAGTCTTCTTCTTCTTCTTCTTTTTTTTTTCCTAATATCTTTTTTTTTTTTTTTTTTTTTTTTTTTTTTGTCTTTAGGACAGAGTAATGCCAGCATCATGGAATGTGTCCCATGGTTCTGCATATGCTTATACCATCTGACAAACACTAGAGCTTTGGTCTAAGTTCTTTAAAAGCTTGGTGGAATTTGCTTTGATGGTTTCTGTTTTGAAGAACTATGAACATTAATTCACTTTCTTCATTAGACACAGGGATGTTCAGATTGTCTCTTTCTATGAGATTACCAGGTTATCTTTTCAAAAAATGGATGCAGTTTTACCCAGGTTATACAAAGGGACTGAACCAAATAGTTAGAGACTTGGATATTCCTGTGATTGCAATTAATAAGACAAAGTCACAGAAGGGGTTTATGGCGCCATTCAGTCACAGATTGTCTGTTAGTATATACTCAAAGTTTCCTAAACATCCAGCATTTGTTCCCAGCACCATAAACTAATAAACTGAGACAAGATGACAAGACATTAAAAATTTGGGAGATGAAAGTCAACTAACACTGCATCAATTGACTGACGTTTCTAAGTCCTCCAGCAGGGTCTGCACTCTATGTATTCTTTCTCAGTGCACACAGGGTACTGAAAATGATAGACCATGACCTGGGTCAAATTAAAACATTGATGGATATAAAATGACTAAAGGGGATTTTTTTTCCTATTTTTCTGTTCCCCTGCCAGTATTATTTGCATGGGTGTTGGGCATTCAAACTCAGGTCCTCATGTCTGGTCAGCAAGTACTTTCCCACTGTACCATCCCCCCAGTGCAAGGCAAACACACACACACACACACACACACACACACACACACACACACACACACAGAGAGAGAGAGAGAGAGAGAGAGAGAGAGAGAGACAGAGAGAGAGAGAGATGCACACTTTTTAATTAAATTTATTTTTTTAATTTTAAATCTCTACCTCAGTTTTCCCTCCTTTCTCTCCTCCCATCCCCTCTCCATACCTTCCCTCCAACCCTTTCAATCTACTTCTCTGCTTCTGTTCAGAAAGGAGCAGTTCTCCCACAGAGGCCTGCTTATCAAGTGGCCATAAGACTAAGCAGATCCCCTTGTATTAAGGCTGGGCAAGGCAACACAGTATGAGGAATAGGTTCTCAAGAGCCAGCCTAAGTGTTAGAGAAAGTCCCTGCTCTCACTGTTAGGAGTCCCACGAGTAGACCAAGCTACACACTGTTACATATGTATAGAGGGCCTAGGTTGGTCCCATGCAAGTTCCATGGCTGTTGGTTCAGACTCTGTGAGTTTTGATGAGCCAGATCAGTTGCTTCTGTGGTGTTCTTGTCTCCTCTGGCTCCTACAATCCTTCTTCCCTCTCTTCAACAGGATTCACCAAGCATAGCCTCATGTTTGACTGTGGGTATTTGCATCTGTTTCCATCAGTTACTATATGAAAACTCTCTGATGACAATTGATGTAGTCACTAATCTGATCACAAGAGATGGCCAGTTCAGGCTATCCCTCTTGGAGTCTTATCTGGGTTTATGCTTGTAAATTTGTGGGAGTTTCCATTGCATCAGGTTTCAATCTGATCCCCCAAAGCCTATCTCCTTTCTATGCTTCTCTTTCAATACTCTCCCCCCTCCAGCTGTCACACCCAACCCTCAAGTTCCTATCCCAGAGATCTCTTCCATTTCCCCTTCCCAGAGAGAGCTATGTATCACTGCCCCCCTTGGGTTCCTCTTGTTACCTAGCCTCTCTGAGTCTGTGGATTATAGCATAATTATGCTTTACTTCAGAGCTAATATCCACTTATAAGTGAGTATATACTGTTTGTCTTTCTGGGTCTGGGTTACCTCACTCAGGATGGTTTTTTTTTTTTTTTGTAGTTCCATCCATTTGCCTTTAAATTTCTTGATGTCATTGTTTTTAACCTTTAAGTAATACTCCATTATGTAAATGAACATTTTCTTTATTCATTCTTCTGCCTAGTGACATCTGGGTTGTTTCCAGATTCTAGCTATTACAAATAAAGCTGCCATGAACATAACTGAGCAAGTGTCTTTGTGGTATGATTGAGCATCCTTTGCATATATGCCAAAGAGTAGTATAGCTGGGTCTTAAAGTAGATTGATTCCCAATTTTCTGAGAAGCCACCATATTGATTTTTAAAGTGATTGTATAAATCTGGACTCCCACCAGCAAAGGAGGAATGTTGCCTTGTTCCACTTCCCTGTCAGCATGAGCTGTCACTTATATTTTTGATCTTAGTCATTCTGACAGGTGTAAGATGGAATCTCGGAGTTGTTTTGATTTGCATTTCCCTGATGGCTAAGGATGTTGAACATTTCTTTAAATGTTTCTCTGCCATTTAACATGATTCTTTTGAGGATTTTCTGTTTAGGCATGTATTCAGTTTTTAAAATTGGATTATTTGGGTTTTTTGATGTCTAGTTTAAATATTTTTAAATAATTTAAAACATCATTGAAATGAACAGGAGAAAACTGAAACAGTATTTAAAGAATCTAAAAGTTTTAAGTATGTAAATCATATGTCAACACTAACATTTAGAATTTTCAAAAATTAAATAAAGTCAACCCAAAATAAATAGAAAAATAACTCTGATGATGAAACACCGAAGACACACAATGAAGTATTTTTTTTTCCAAAGATGAATTGCACTGTTAGTACTCTAGTTAAGGTGGTTAAAATTAAAGCAGGACCACAAACAAGAGAACACAACAGTTTATACACATGTACCTGACAAATGTGTAGAATTCCAGCCAAAACCTGTCAACAGAACAATCCAGTAAAATTTACCTAAACTGATTTAGAAAGTCATGGGAAGCTTTTGAACTCCATTTCAACTTCTAGATATGTTATCAATTTGATTTTTTAAAGAAATTGTTAGTAAACCATCTCAAACGTTTGAACAAATGATATAGAAACCAAGGCAGAAAAAAATGTTGAAGTGTGATGCCACTCATCTCTAGGATCGAGCTGACATCCAGCCATATGATAATACAGACATAAAAATCACAGAACAATAGTCCAAATTATTGCAGATGCTGAAATGCCATTTCACATCCGTATTGGCTCTTCCAAAGTTTACCAAGCGACAATGCTCCTACTCATCATATATGGAGTAGGAACTTGCGGTTGCTTATTCTATAAGCTGGAGAGGTGGCTTAGAGCGTGAAAGTACTTACTGGCAAGCCTGATGACCTGAGTTCCATTCGGAGGATGAGCCCCACGTGCTGGGTTGAGAGAACCAACTTCTTCTTATAAGTCATCCTCTGACTTCTCCATACATGTGGTGACTTGTGCACCCATACACAAACACCATGTGTGCACCCACACCCACACATCAAAGAAATACATGTGATAGAATTTTCTTTTTCTTTATTCTTCTTCTTCATCATCTTTTTTTGGGGAGAGAGTTAAGACAGAGTTTCTCTGTGCAACCCTAGTTGTCCAGGAACTCACTCTGTAGATCAGGCTGGCCTTAAACTCACAGAGATTCACCTGCCTCTGCCTCCTGAGTCCTGGGATTAAAGGCATGCACCACCACCATCCGGCATAATACAATTTTCAAAATGGTTAGCTCTAGAAGACACCATTGCAGTGTTTAAAAGGTTAACTGTATTGGTAGAATATGATCCAATAATACTGCTGTAGGCTGATTATAACTTAATAAATGCTCCTTTGTAAATAGCATGGAATGAAGTATTGATAGGTGTAAAAGCAAATGAATCAATAAAACATTAT